CAAACTGATACACTCTTATGAGGATCAATGGCCCAAATGGTTGGCAGTGTCTGATCAGGTTCTTGCTAGAGCAGGGGTCTGCTCACTGGCTTCTGCCGAAAAGCAAAAGCAGAATCATCCACATCTGGTGACGGGCCTTGTACCATAGCAGGCATTCAAGAAGCAGCAGCAGCATTTCTAACACTTGGATGGTGCTCACATGGGTCAGACACTGCTTTAAACACTAAGCAGATATTAACTCACACAATCTTCATAAGTACACTGCTACTATCTCCATGTTATAGAGAAGGAAACCAAAGCACAGAGAGGTTAAGTCACTTCCCCAAGACCACACAGCTCCTAAGTAGTGAAACCTTGCTTCAGACCCAAGTAGCCTGATTCAAAAATCTACACCCTTAGCCTCAGTCCCAGTCATAACCAAACTTGTCTATTAGAGTTTTAAAAATACACCCCAGAGGTGGTGACTTCATTGGTCTTGGATGTTTCCTGGGCTTTGTCATTTTTTGATAGGGAGGTACTGGGAATTGAACCCAGGGACACTTACACTACTGAGGTACATCCCTCTGCCCGTTTTTTTTTTTTTTTCCCCATATTCAATCTCACTGAGTTGCTTAGGGCCTTGCTAAATTGCTGAGGCTGGCCTCATACTTGTGTGATCCTCCTGCCCTAGCCTCCTGAGTCACTGGGATCACAGGCTTGTGGGCACTGGCATTTTTAAGAGTGTCTAGTGATTCCAGTGAGTAGACACTTTTGAGACCCACTGCATCATCATATCCTGCCTCATTAGCCAGCAAATTCGCTGGATCTAACCTATTTGCTTCGCAAGGATTTGCCTTCAGGAATACCAACAATCCCAGGAAGGGGGAAATCCTACCTCTGGCGACAGCAAATTATCTTGGAGTGAGCTGACGGTCTCCCGAGGGTGGGGAAGAGCATGGTCTGCCGCCGGCCTTCCTGGCTTCCAGTCTAAAGTGGGCGCTGTGAGCTGCGGGTGGGGAGCTGCCCAGGGCTCAGCAACCCACTTCCTCCCGTCCAGGGCACGCAGCTAGCCTCCATCGCCCGGTGCCTCCCAGTGAGCTGTGGCCATCTGGCAGGACCTGACCAATAGAATGTGGACAGCAGTGACGCTGGCCTTCCTGCTGCAGGGAGAGGTTTCAGGGGGGTCTCAGACTCCAGAGGAGGCAGAGCCACAGGGAAGGAGGCAGGATGGAGAGAGCCGTGCGAGCACCACAATCCAGTCTGGACAGCTGTCCCCTACCCTTGCACCCCCACCCTCCAGCCCCTGGCCCGCACATTAACCTCTGCCTGGGAGGCTGAGCCTCACGCTGTAACCTCCTCCTAGGGGAGCCCTGAGGGAGGCCAGAGGGCAGGAGAGTGGGGTGTGGGGAATCGCTCCTCTGGCCGCTTCACCCACTGCCACCCCTGTGAGAGTCACCCTCAGCCTGGGGGAGGGGCACACATTGCTTCGGTCTCTTGGGAGGACGGGAAGGAGGACACCTGTGAAAGGTGAGAAGTGGCCACTGATTCAAGGCTGAGGTCTCTCCTGGGCCCACAGAGCCCTGGAGGTCCTGGGGCCCCCTGCCCTGTCACCAAGGAAGTAGCTCCTTCCTGGCTCCAGGCACCCCCATGGGCCATGGGTTTCCTGCCAGGACCCTGCTGATTCTGAGTCTGTGGCTCAGTGCGGAGCGGGTGGTCACCACAGAGCAGATATTCAGAGACAGTGGATTTCTTCTTTTATGTGTATGTTAGAATTACTACCAGTGGTGCAAAAGCCAGGGAAAGTGAGATGACAGTGAATAAAGGCACCTTTAAACATCAGTCACACCATCTTAGGCATGACTTCCTCTCTCTGGGCAAAGTGACTGCACAGGCCAGATGCCTGCGGTTCCTTCCTTCACCCTCCACGCACTGCTCCCGGCTCTGGGCAAAGCACTGCATGGGCACCGGGCACACAGGGACGCTGCCTGCATGGGAAGACAGGGTAGGACACCAAGGGGGACTCAAACTCAAGAGAACAGACTGGTGGTAGAGCCCTTGCCTCCCGTGTGAGGCCCTGGGTTCGATTCTAAGCACTGCATATAAATAAGTGAATAAAATAAAGGTCCATCAACCACTTAAAAATTTTTTTTAAAAAAGAGGAGACAGTGCTACACTGGGGAATGAGGAGACAGGGAGGTGGCGCGGCCCGACTGGGGCAGGAAGGCAAAGCCCAGTGGGGAGAAGCCAGGGCTCCTCACCACTTTTGCCAGGGGAGTTTCAGTCCTGGGGTTTCCAAAAAGAGTTTTCCCCAAGGGACATCTGGCCTTTACTGGAACCCTGTTCGGCTTTCAGAGTTGGGAGGGGGGAGGTGCTCCTGGCACCTAGTGGGTAGAGGTCCAGAGGCTGAGACCTCCTGCAATCCCCCGCCCCAAAGATCAATCAGGTCCCAAATATTGTGCTGCCATGGAGGGACCTTTGCTTGGGCCCTATTTTGACTTGTGAGGGACCTTAGTTTAAAAAAGGCACTCTCCAGGCTCCTCCGACCTCTGCTTACAGGCCTCAGGCAGGAGCACAGGGCCAGGGAAGCTGGGGAACAGCTGGGAGGGGCGGGGCACACTGAGCATCCTAGGAGACTAGTCCTGTGCCCCCAGGGCTCAAGCCGGAGGATGACTGAACAGTGACACCTGCCACATCAAACTTCTTGTAATTTGTCTTTAAAATGCCTTTTATACATTCCTTTATAAGCAAAATATTTTTCCAAACAGATTTATCAAATATTTATCTAGGTCCTTAAGACCAAAACTACAGGACGTATTTCCAAGTCCAAATTGCAGAAAGAGTAATCACTACTCAAAAGGAGTAGGAGCGGCAAATTGCAAGATCATATACTCTATGAGTTAGAAACTAGTAGCAAACACCAGATTTGCTATTGAAATGCAGGATCACGGGAATGTCCTTTCCTAGTCCCAGAGGCATTTCAAACAGGCTTTGGAAACAATTCATGGTGACAGACAACAGTTATGATTAAAGAAAAACCCAAAGAGTAAATATTTTAATTTTTTGAGTATTCTTAATTTCATATTTTAAATACACACTAACAAGATACATTTCCACCAAAATACTTGTACAGTATCAGTATTCTTGTAAGTATTCACATCCATAATTAACACAATTAGGATAATTAGGAAATTTAGCCAAGACAGTAAATATCTACATGAACGTTCTCATCCTTGTGGTGATTCAGTCTCTAAAATAAGTCAGGCTGGATCTACATAAAAGCTGAATTTGGTGTCGCTTCCGAATTTCTCCTTGAGAAAGCCTCGAGTCCTGAGTGAGCGGAGCGGCAGGCTACAGAGGGCAAGGCCAATCTACCAGAAATCAGGAGCAGCCATCCACAGCTACAAAATGCAGGTGAAGCAGCAGAGGAAACACGTTGGGGGCTGCTATTTTGATCCCCCAGGCACGAGTGACCCTGAGCCAGTGCCACACACACCCCAGCTCTAGACACAGCAGCACTCTGGCACTCACTAGGAAGCCAGTGCCTGAAAGCAGCATGGCTGTCCAAGGAGGAAATACATCTCTAACTCCTTCGCCAACATCCAAAATGTGAACTGACACTCAAATTTCTCATCCCCAAAGAGGCCTATGGTGGCATTTTATAGGACTGCCTTTTCTGTCTTCAGTTTGCAGACAGCATGACAAAAGGGAAGTAATTCCTCACTAGAAGTAGCTGCCTTGCAACTGGGCATCACATCTATTAAAGGAGCAGCTTGCCCCACACCAATCTTAAGCACTAAGCTAAAAGCAGGCAGGCCATGAAGCACAGGGATTGAACCCAGGGGCACTCGACCACTGAGTCCTTTTTGAGACAGGGTCTCACTAAGTTGCTGAGGCTGGCCCTGAACTTGAGATCCTCCTGCCTCAGCTTCCTGAGCTGCAGGGATTACAGGTGTGCATCACCAATCCCTGCTTGAATGTGTATTGGATGCCAGTTGCTATATCCAGCTGATGCATTTGCAGGTCCAAAATGAGTGTGCACAGTCTCTTATTTTCAAGGTACATTGGCTATCCTCATTATAAGAGGCAAAATAAGCCAATCCCAAAGAACCAAAGGCTGAATGTTTTCTCTGATATGCAGCCGTTAATTCACAATAAGGCGTCGGGGGAGAACAGACGTATTTTGGACTAGACAGAGGGGTGTGAAGGGAGGGGAGGGGGCATAGGGATAGAAATGATTAGAATGAATGGGACAGTATTACCCTATGTGCAAACATGATTACATAACCCGTGTAACTCTACATCACAAACAACCAGAAGAATGAGAAATTATACTCCATTTATGTACGATGTGTCAAAATGCATTCTACTGTCATGTATAGATAGAATTAAAAAATATATTTTAAAAATCAGCTATTCTCTCTACTGCTGCAGGTGAGGCCAGGGGATGTGAAGGGAAAGGAAAGAGTGTGCACCCCATGGCTCAGCACATTAACCATAACCTCGGGAATTCACTCCACACAGTCATGAGAAAATGGAAACTGAGTGCTTTTTTTTTTTTCTTTTTTAAGCCTCCATGGGCTGGGGATTGAATCCAGGGTTCACACATGAGGCAAGCATTCTATCACCGCGCCACATTCCCAGCCCCAGCTTTTCACATATACAATATTTACATTAATGTTAAGAAAATTAATAGTTAATCCTAAAACTATTTAGTGAAAATGTAGATTCTGCATTTAAAATTAACTCTTCCATTGGTGAGAACACAGGTACCAAGGACCCATGTCAAAGGGCATCTGAGGTTCAACAGCAATTCCCTAAAAACCAGAAATATTGCAACAGCACTTAAAAAGTGGCACATGGCAGGGGACAAAAACCACTGGTCTTTATTACTATTTTGCATGGTAGGCATGCTGCTCCTTGGAAAGATTTTTTTTCTTAAAGTGACTTTTGCATATAAAAACATCACTGTTAAATATATTCTCTCTAAGCAAGAACCAAGTTGTACTCAAATTTCATTAAAATGAAAGTCTACTGCCACAGGGTCTGAAAGAAACAGTTTTATCTATTGTCAAAGGCCAACGTTCAGATGAGCATGGTGGCGCACATCTGTAATCCCAGGGGCTCGAGATGCTAAGGCAGGAGGATCGCAAGTTTGAAGCCAGGCTCTACAACTTAATGAGACCTTGTCTCAAAATAAAAAGGACTAGGGATGTTGCTAAGTGGTTAGTGCCCCTGGGTTAAATCGGTACCCCCCCCCAAAAAAAAAGAGTTCAATAGATGTTGTACTTGTAAATACCAGCAACATGGGAACACATAGGAAGGTAAAATTGGTCAGTTCAAGAGAAATACATGGCTATGGCTATGGTCTGTGCTGCCTACTTGTAACACAGTCACCTCAACAGCACTGTGGGAGTCTATGGCTCCTGGCAGATCCTGATGGAGCTTGCTTACCTGGACTCCTGGGGGAGACCTGCAAGGGGCTCAATGCAACAGCATGCATCACATCCCGACTCAACACGCAGGCAAAGTGACAATTCAAAAACATATCACTGAGAGCCTGAGATATGGAGTAGCCCACAGCTGCACAGGGTGTGATGTGACCAGAGTCACAGTTCCCACTCAAGGTCACCTCCCAATGTAGGGGGCACAGACATGTGCCACCATTCGCATAGGTGCACACAAATTCCCATCGGGCTTGGTCAAAAGAAACCTTCACTCGGAGAACTAAGTGTGTTGGCCAAGTCATCTGCTTGGTGGCTTGCAGATCCAGTAACCCAAGGATCCTGCTGCACTCTCCTCACTGTGTCCTCACACGGAAGTCTGGAAAGACCCTCTTTAGTAGGAGATAGTTAACATACACATGTTCAGATACAGACAGGCCCTCCACAAACAGCTCAAGGGAAGAGCATTTTGGCTGAACTGACTATGAACAGACCCTTGACACTGAACCTCTGAGAGACATAGTTTTTGTTCCAGTCAGTGATCCCACCCAAAGCGGGGCAGGAGGGTGGGACAGAAGGCAGTGCAGAGACCCATCAAAAGGACATATGTGTTAATGAGCTTTTTCAACTAAACCATTCACAACTCAAGGGCAAAGAAAAGGATAATTATTTCCCCCGTATTACATTTAATTAAATTGAAGTATAACTATGGATTAAGAGATTAAAGATTTTAAAGTTTGATCCAGTGTTTTTCAGCTTGATTAATCAGGTACACAACATGGTTTATTTTAAGGCAAACAGAATACTGGAGCTGGTGAGCAAGGCAACAAAATACACCCCAGAGGCTGGACTGTCATGGTGGTACACTGTGTCATCACCTTAATGTTGGTCAGGGCCAGGCTACATGAACTGTTAATAGGGATAGAGTTACAAATGGTTCCATGATGCTCAAGCAGGTAATTGCAGGTAGTTACTCTGAGCATTGCCTTTCTAAGTTTTTCAGCAATAAAAAGGAAAAAAAGTAAATTTAAATGCTATGTAACACCACTTTTATGAATTCTGAATGTGTGGATTTTTGGTTTGCATTGCCTCCCTGTTTACAAATTTAGAGAATAAAATTGATTCAATTTCATTTTCTGACCCCCCCCAAAAAGAAAAAACAATTCCAAAATCCAAATTCACCTTGACAATACTCCCCTGCAACCACTCCCACACATTAGGAATGAGAAGCTGGGTGACAATACTCCACAATCAGGGACCTCTCTCGGTCCTTGGGGATCATTTACTTGATAACAACCACAATCAATTCTGACTAAGTACTTCCAAATATTTTGGACTAAATCAAAGTACTGCATTTATGAATATGCTCTATGAAAAGCAGAATAGTCATTAAAGCATAAAACAATTTTATCTTTAAATAGAAAATACTTTATTCATTCCTGACAGGTTATCAAAATGTACACTGTTAACCAAATAAAAATGGTACTCTGAATTAGTTGACTAGGGCATATGTTTTGAGGATTTTTTAATTTAATTTTCAAAGAGTAAAAACTACTTCCAATCTCCCTTCCCGCACATTCTAACAAGCTTGCACTATACCTGCTTAAATTAAACAAACAATTACATGGGCCCAGTTCATTACAGAATGCACGTTTCCACTTTCACTTAGAGGAAACTACTGCACTTGGGTATTTCCGTCTGCCAGAAGCTCTCAGGCATGTTTACTCCTCTTCGTGTTTTGTGTAACTTTGTAAATGACAAAGAATAAGGAATAAAGAACATGACTTGCATTAATCTATACACACACACACACACACACACACACACACACACACAGAGGATTAAAGTGCAACAGGACAGAATATGTCCGTGACTTCACTTTTTCCAAGCTCCAGAAGGCTCTTCCGAGTAAATGGGATGAATGCTGCTCTTGACACCTCAAGTGTGGGGAACACCTAACCCAGCAGGGTGACTTGTGTTTTCACACTGGTATCATATTAAAAGCCCTATTTGCTTTGCGTCCCCTGGGGCTTCTCTCATTCTCAACCAAAGTTTTGAAGCTGTGTTTCTTTCTAAACCTTGAGAAAAATTAACTCATCAGAGCTACATAAATAGTGCTTTAGAATGCTCCAATGCTTTTTGAGCACTCTATGCTGTAAAAGAAGGTTTCCAATGAAATCCTGTCTACAACAAGGAGAATTATAGTCATTTTAATAAAAGTAAGCAATACACTAACTTGGCAGCAAATGCTTTAACAATCTTTGACACCAGCCACCAAACGCTTCTATAGGCAAATACCAAACTAGTCCTAAATATCAGAATTTTTGGTTGCATGTTGTTTTGACGTTAAATTATTTAACTAAAAAAAAAAATGCTTTTGTTCCTGAGATGAGCACGATAAAATAAATGAGTTCCCTCTGAAGCTGCCACTGGGGCTCTAGGCTCCTTATTCTACCCTTACTCTCCTCACAAGGAGTCTCGTTGGAAATGCCAGTCCTCCCCGTGGCGCCATTTCTGTGATTCGTCTTGCCGAACATCTGGTCTAATTTGGTTTCTCATGCCACCCAACACATTTGATGTCGCTTCAGTGGCAACAATCAGAGGTTTCACCACTGCTGGGGGAATCTGGCGCAGGACTTCACCCACGGCACCGGTAACCCCTCTGCTCTCATGTTCTCGAGCTGCTGTTTCATAAATGGTCTGAGCCGTGTCTGTGATTCCCTGGGGGTGTGGAGAAGGGGAATAAATTACTGGTCAGAAATCTGAATTATCCTATATTATACACTTTCAGTATAATAACATTATATTTATAAGTAGACAAATAATTGCTTTTTTGAGATTACCCAGGATAATTATTTTTATGACAAATTCTAATAATAAGGAAAAGAGGCAAGTATTAGTATTTTGTTATGACACCAATGCATACAAAATGTAGCTAAACACTTTTCACACAGGGAAGCTTACAGAAATACTTAATGATCCAAGAGCAGCTTTTCTAGCTTGATTAATCACTCCAGTTAAACCCAACTTAGGAAACAAAGCTCAAATAAACACTCACTTAAAGGACCACAGTGATAGCTCCTTCGATGCAACACAAAGAAAACTTAATTCCCCTAAGCTGTAGAAAATTATTTGTCTTAAATTACTGGCTATGTATTAGAAAAGATAACCGAGGAACATTCAATTATAATAAAAAAGCTAAATAGACCCATTCTGTTGAGTTGAAGAGAAAATTCTGAGAACATACAGCAGAAACCTGTCATGCAAGGACTAGACACAAAGCTTCTGCAGCATCTCAATCTCCCTGGTCTACAGTGTTAAAGCAATCATGGCCGCCCAGCTCCGGGGATAATGTATAAATGTGCTGTGCGCCGTTAGGAGTAAAACCTCATGTGCCTTTTGAACCTCTGCTATTCATCTGACTCAGAAATCCCCCAGAGAGACCAGGGCACTGGTTCCCTCGTGCTAGGTCCAATATAAAGGAACTTTCGGTTCTCCTGGGAAATCAAAGAATCCAGTCACCAGTTTAACAAGCTAATAGCATAAGGTTTTTACCCAGCACAGCAAACAAAAACATGTAATACCATGAGTTCTACACATACACACAGCACAAAGTTCAGAAAACTAAAAGAAATAGAAGTGCTCCCTTTAAAACCAACAGCCAGTGAGGAACTGTGAGTACAAATCATCCACCTCCCCGCATCACCTTCCCTGCAGTTAGTCCCCCCTCTCCCCTCCTGCCCATAATACAGGTCAGGATGCTGAGTGAATGACCAACTCCACTAAGTTTGGAGACACAGAAGAAAATTCAAACCCCATCACTTAGCTGTGAAACCTCAAGCTAGTCTTTTAAATGGGGAATTAAAACACTGGCTGCCTCTTACAGTGTTTGTTTGAATTAAAGAGCCTGACGCTGCTTGGAAGACTACCATGACCACATCCCAAAGATCTGACTACCACTAAAGAATCACAGAGCACAGGGGTCAACAAATATCTTCTGAGAAGGACCAGATGGTAGAGATTCATGGGCCACACAGTCTATTCACACTTCTTTCTGGATTTCCCTTTTAGAGTCATTTAAAATTGTGAAAACAATTATTAGCTTGAAGGTCCCTCCAAAAACAGGCCTGGGTAGATGTGACCTACAGGCTAGTCTGCAAACCTCCATCTCACAGACGAGTTATTTATGTAACACCTGAAATCTCTTTCTTTGATTTATTAACATCTAAACTGAAAAAAAAATATTTCTCAGCATTTTGGAACCTCTATTTAAAAAAAAAAAAAAAACATTAGTTCAGAATTCAGTTTCAGTCTAATCCAGCATGCCCTCACAACTCAGCTCAAGCAATGTCCCCAACCTTTCTTCCTACAGACGGTTTTTGAGAAAAGAACTGAACTTCAGCTGCAGTTCCCCGGGCGTCAGTCCTGGCCCACCATCTGCTTGCTGTGGTTTGCTGGGGGCTCCTTGTTCGTGCTAAGCCGGTTTCCTCATCTCTAAGTCAGCATTAGCACCTATCTTAAGAACCACTTATACCCTTGGCACAAAGGACCACATCAATGCACGTGTTGTATAAACATACATTTTCAGGCAAGTGCTTCCCAAGTGCTCCATATCAAAGTGCTGCTCTTCCCTGCTGCCACTGCCTTTGCCCTACCTTGAACCTCAGTAATAAGTCTTACAAATCTATTGGTAACTGGACCAATACTGGTAATTCTCTCTTTATTCTCTGCGCTATACCTCTTTTCAGAAGTTGAACTTTGGTCTTCCCTTCTTTTATCCCCTGATATAATTCTTGGGCCCTACCCCAATGGCCTTCCCACAGACTTGGGAACCACAGAGTCTACTTCAGTAGAAGAAGGACTGGCCTAGGTCCTTTTATCACCAGAACATGACTGGTGAAATGTCTTTTATGAAATTCTAAAACATGAACCATAAAGTAGGGTGAACACAAACTTCTTCATGTCATGTTAAAAAGAATGTCAAAAATGATGAAGCCAGAGAATACTCCAGGCAACAGAAAGACTCAGCATTCATTACATGATTGCTGGAGAGCCACATAGCATGCCTACTACAGGGCAAGATTCGGCTGCAACCCACCCACTCCACCCTAGAAAACTTTCTGCACATGTAAACACACACATTTAGGTGAAGATTCCCCTTAGCAGTGCTTCAGGGGGAAAAATAGAAACTAAATAGCCACCAATAGGGAAATAATAAACTATAGTATATTTACATCATAATACTATAAAGTCATTTAAATCCGATTATGAGTACTAACATGGACACATAAACACATAAACAAAAATATGCATCAACTTCAGGTTAGGATGAAGGTGGGTGGTTCACTGAAAAGCTGCATTTCTTAAAAAAAATCTAACACTAACAAATTTTGCAGATAGTGAGCTGGGTACAGTGGTGCATTCCTGTAATCCAAGCAATTTAGGGAGTCTGAGCTGGGAGGATCACAACTTCAAGGCATCCTGGGCAACTTTAGGAAGACCCTCAGCAACTTAGTATGAACCTGTCTCAAAATTAAAAAAAATTTAAAAGGCTGGGAGTGTAGCTTAATGGCAAAGCACCCCTGGGATCAATCCCCAGAACCAAAAAGAAAAAAGAAAAAACTGCAGATGGTGCACACATGGGCATATATTTCTGCCGTTCCCCACATACTTCTGTGGTAGTGAGAATCTACCCCTCGCTCTCTTCTCTTGATGGAAGGCTGTCAGTCACAACCTAGCCCTCCTATCTCACTTCAGGAAGATATGTCACATGCTAGTAGTGGCTGCTCCCGTTCCATTCTCAGGGGTTTCTCTGAAACACATTAACACTACTGAATGCTCTTTGGGTGACAGCCAGGAAAATAGGCAAACTAGTGACTTGTCCACTCAAACACTTACGTACCTCTTTGACGACACTGTAGGCCTTGGCCACACCTTCCCTCAGGTCTACTGGCTGGTGAGCTAATCGGTGATGAGGAAACCTTCTGACCTTCTTGGGCTCAATAGAAAGAGTACCAGGAGACACCATGTCATAAGCAGTCTCTGCTGCTGCCTGGATATTTTGTCAGAATAAGAAATGAATTAGAAAGCAGTTGGGAGAGCTCTGTAACAACAGAGAACTCTATGGGGAGTGTGCAGAGCTCCCAGGGTCTGAATTCTATACAAGAGTTATGACTTCTACAATAAGAATATGAAAAATAACTAAAAACTCATATCTGGATTGAGCTCACTTATTCAGTTCCTTTCTCTCTCCATAGAGAATACTCAATATTTCTATGTTATACAATTTAATACTGAATGGAAACAAACCTTAATACCTCTACTGTTTAATCAATTAAGCTTTCTTGAATTTAGCTATGATATTTTTATACAGACTGATAAAACAAATCCCCTAATTTAATGGTTGTTATTTACCTGAAATAGGCAAACAAATTTAACACTGCATTCCACTGTTCCATTCTACTGAATATTTTAATGTTGGACATCTAAGTGATAAAATGATATTAAATAATTACAAATAAAACATCTATGCTCAACACTTAGTGTATTTATATTTTCACAGTATGTTTAAAAACAAAACAGCCCACTTTACAGTAGCTCTTCCTTGTGGATTAAGACAGGCTGGGAAAGATACCTGTATGGTTTGGACCATTCTGTTTGTCAGCTCCAGAGCTGCCATTGCCGTTGAAGTGCCAAAGGAAGCGGCGCCTCTCTGGAACCCTCGGACAATGCGCCCATCCTTCCGGTACTGCTCTATGGGTAGCCACACTAAGTCCTTGAGGCCTTGCACTGAAACAGCACAAAAATCAACATGAGTTCTGGGGTTCAAAACTCCATTAACATTCTAATCCTGGAGTTTTTAACCCCAAAAATGGAGGCAAAGTTTTTTGTATGACAGTATACATGTGGGTTTTTAGAAAAATGATCTTCGTGTAGACTCTCAATCATAACTCCAAAAGGGTTAAAAGAGAAAACTCACCTAACTGAACCAGTGAATGCATAGGTCCAACGCCTCCCAGGATTCCTGGTAGCTGGTTCTTCTTAATGTCATTGAGCCATTCAGTGATTGCATATGAAAATAACTTATCAACACCTAGCAAACTAGAGTAAATGACTATTAGTATATAGAAAGGAAAAATAAACCTTATACATTTAGATAAGTTTTTTAACTTAAATTTATGAATTATGTGAGCAAAATTTTTATACTTTTTTAAAATTTAAAACAAATTTTAAATCAAAAATTAACATATATCAGCCATTTAACTCGCAATCTGAATCACTCTCTTTCTACATATTTATATTAGATGACAGGTAAATATAGACATAAACAGATACAGAATGTTTCTAATGTTGTAATGTTTCTAATTTCCACAAGACTTAAGTACATGTGTGTGTTGTTCCACTATCCTTATTTCTTGACTATCTAAAGCTCTAGCATAGAATTAACCCAAAGTCTATAAATTGCCATTAATTTTTTTCAAAGAATAAGCTCATTTATAACTTTAGGAAATCATTAGAAATGTCCCAAACAGCTATTTTTAAATACTAGTACTCTCCTCAAAAACTCTGTCTCTCTCAGAATAAAAATTAGCCTCTAACCAATCAGAGTACTCTAAAAATGAGCTCTCTACAGAAAACACTGTATTTTAAAACAACTAACATATGCATGCTTGCTATGAGGGCTCCATTTCTAATTTGTTGTCAACTGGCCTTAGTAGCCTCCCCTTAGAGCCTCCCAGGATAAATCAACTTACCCATGCCGATAGAAAAGCCTCTTCAGCTTTAGCTCTGAGCAGTTTAACTGGGCCAAACCAATTAGAATCCCAGCTAACGTACCCTTTAAAGTTAAAAACATTTGGATTAATTCGTAAATAAAGACAGACTCAACATTTAATATTGTTGTTATTTTGGGAAAATCAACATGATATTCATTAACAAAGCTAAAAAATCTTGAAATATTTACAGAATATATAATTCATAGTATGTACTACCCACTAGATCCCAAAGTATACTTATGGCACTGAAGAAAACAATATTTAAATTATTTACTTTAAAAAATTAAAATTTAAAACCCTATGCTTCATTTCAATTCTATATATGTGTGTGTTAAAATTTTATAAACCTATAAACTATATAAAAAATTGAGCCCGTTAGGAAAGAAAAGAGATAATTTTATAGAACATATTTATGCAAAATTTCCAAACCTGATCCATTGATACATGTTTGCCATGATAATCAAGTCGAATAGGAACTTCTGATGTAAATCTGAATTCTCTAGAGATAAACAATGGAGGGAGTTATTTATATTCAAAATTACTAATTGTTTAAATTACATATAAATTAATTTGTTGAATTAGAGAATTAAAAATAAAACCACAAAATAAGTCTGTAAATATCTTATGGCCTACATAAAAAGTGTCTTTTAGTTCTATCTTTTCGTAGGTAACAACTAATCAGATATTAGTCATTTGATAACTTTGTATTTAGTATATTTTAATTTTTCTCACAAAAACTTTTTCTAATTTATTAAATAATGTTTATTCTTATAAAAATTTATTTTGGTAGATATTCTCCATTCATACAAATTAATAAAAACAATAAAAGTGACCTTTAAGAGTAATCATTAAGTCAATCATTACCAAGAAGTAAAAAAGAGAAGAGGTTAGATGATTCTTCTGGCTGGTGTGAAGCAGTCAGGAGACCGGCATCAGTTAAATGAGTTAAATGGGATGCAATCGTGGGCAAGTGACTTAAAACACTTTGAGCCTGTCTTCACCAGCAAATGTTTTAAATGCCACCTACATTGGTAAATTTTGGTGAGAATCCTTAAAATTTATGCTTGTAAGTAGGTTATCAATATACTAATATTGAGAATCCTGGGAGAATAAAATAATGTACATTGATGGTATGTAGCAAACAAACTCATCTGGCTTCTAAAAGCTAAATGTAAACTGGATACATGGAACTTTTTTCCCCATAGAATTAATATTGGTGGTTACAACCTAAGCCACCTCACAAAAGTCCACTTAATCCTCAGTGAAAAGAAATAGTGTATTTACAGCAATCTCTTTCAGCCTGGGATCACAGGTTGTTCCTTCTGGGGGGGGGAGGGGGCGGCTAACTGGGGATTCAACCCAGAAACAATCATTGAGCCACATCCCCAGACCTTTTTGTATTTTATTTAGAGGCAGGGTCTCACTGAGTTACTAAGTGCCTCCCTAAGGTGCTGAGGTTGGCTTTGAACTTGCAATCCTCCTGCCTCAGCCTCCTGAGTCACTGGGATAACAGGCATTCGCCACAGGACTTGGCTCCTCATTTCTTGAATGCTCATCTCCACCTGGTTGTCTGGGCAATACACTTGGTACTCTCTCCTTCCCCACTCCTTTTACTCAGAACAAATGTTATTTTAATTATTTATAAGCTCACTGATTATTCATTGTGTGTAGACCAAAACCTGGTGTACACACAGTAAGTGCTCAAGATGTTCAAAACATACACACTTTCAAACACATCTACTGCCACTTTGGGCCAGATCTAAGGTCTAACGTCAGAATCTAGTGGAGAAGACAGAGAAAAGGGGGCCAAGATGCCAACAGGGGAGGGATTCAGGGAACCAGAGAAGGTACTAACTGTCCCTCTCAACAAGGGGTTTTGCTCTTTCTCCCTTGTTAATGCCAAGGCTCCATCCCTTCCATCAACGGTTAGGAAAGAAGAGGACAAGAAGATCAAAGTCTGGAGAGGTGAGAGAACTCCAGTGTGTGGCCAGCTGGCCAGGCAGCTAGACAGCGTCAGAGCAGGCAGCAGCAGTGCAGGAGACCTGGGCATCAGGAAGTGATGGTTCAGCCAAGGAGGAAGGATCAGGAAAGACAACCGTGGTGGGGAACATCAGGTAGAAAATCCCACAGGAGAAAAGGCAGGAATGCCAAAGCCAAGGTGTGAAAAGAAGCAAAAGGAAAACCTCCTGTTTGGGGAGGGACAAGACACTGTTAACAGTGACTAGGAAGAAGGAGACTTGGGGGGGAGGGGCGGTGGCGGGCAGGGAAGGGAAGGGAAGAAGTTAGGAGGAAAAAGGAACTTGTACAACAGATTCAAAAGAGATAGATCCTAAACCAGGGTTCCTACATATAAATGAGCATGTAAGTTAGATGGGTACCACATGTGAATAAACACACTAGTTAATTATGTGGCAAGGCAAAGAAAAGCTGATGTAACCTCACAATTACCAGTATACTTACACATTACAGAACTACCCTCAGAACTTCAAGGTTATCAAAATTATTTACCTAAAAAACACAGGCTGATCACTAAATGACGCTTCTTCGGCTGAGAAGTCCTTTTCCTCCGCTCCATTAACTGCATCCGCTGCACTGGCACTCTCGTTTTGGGAAAGTTTTGGCCCAGGGAAAGAAAGAACTAGATTTGGCTCCTTTGAAATACTCAAATGCCTTGGCAAACTGCAGGTGACATCAGCTCCAGGAGACTTTTTGACTGAAAATGTAACGTGCACATTTGAAGTATTAGGTATGTCTCTATAGAGCAACTGTTTAAATCAATCTTGTTACCTTTCATTTAATAAATACAAACCCTATTACAGAGAAAATTTGCTTCTCAGTAATTATTACTTATATAAACTATATTTGCATTAAGTAAAAACAACACACATGCATATACATGGGAATAAAGATTATAAACATGAATAAGTCAAAGTGAACCCCACTACTAACTATAATGCACTAATAAAAATAAGCATATTCTCAAAAATACCTCATATCAATCCAAGTACAAATAGTCCCAATTTAATGACGGTTTTGACTTAAAATTTTTCAACCTCACAATGGTATGAAAAAAATATGTACATTCAGTAGAAATTGTACCTTGAATTTTTATCTTTTCACAGGCTAATAATTGTGGTCAGATTCTGTCTGTGATGGCAGGTATCTATCTGCAGGTAGCCACATTTCCACCAACCCCTCAGTCACAAGGAGAAACAAAAAACACCCTACAGTGTTATGTTGCTATGATGTTCAGTAGGTTAGATAACTAAATGCATCTTCAACTCAAAAGTGTTTTCAACTTACATCGTATTTCTCAGGATATAACCCCATCCTAAGTTAAGGGCATCTGTACTTACTATAGATTTTTCAAACTATGTTAAATACCTTCTGGATCTGGAGTCAGTAGAAGCTCCACTTCTGCAGAAAGACTTGTGAAGAAATCCTTCAGGAAGAACAAGGCATCCTAGAATTAAGAGAAGTCATTACAACTGAAAAGAGGAAAAGGACATCTATTTCTAAAACTATGAAACAAAATAATTTTAAAGTCTCACATTTTACTCATTATTCAAATATAGCTATAATTTATTGTAACCCTACCATGTCTCAGGTCTTATTCCTATTCTGTGCGTGTGTGTCTGTCTGTCCCTTCCCCACCACACACCTTTCCCATCAATTCTCACAACTCTGAGAAAATTAACTTAGAGAATTTAAAAATTACAAAGCTAGGAATGATTCTCAAAGTACTTTTTAGTTTTCTTAGAAACAGAGCATTCTCATTCTTGTTTGGCATTACTCTTCATTCTAAATTGTAGTGGTAACACTACTAACAATAATAATGGCAACTAGTTTGTTCTGGATACTCATTTGCCATGAGAGTTCTTAATGTCTCATCTCTGCTTTTACCACTGTGTTACCTTAATACATTTTCTCCAGTGGACAATGACATTCAAAATAAGAATGAAAAATAAAATCAATCATTCAGAGTAGTCCCTTCTGATACTATAGAGTTTCAAACAAAAATGTTTGGCTCTGTCCTGATAATCCATTCACATCTGACCCATTTTTGGCAGCTTCATTCTGCTTTTCTCAAAGTGACAATTACATCCTGGGACATATAAAAATCAAATGCCTGAGCCTATTCTTTCTTATTCTTCCCTTCCACTTTAAAAAATCCTAAATTAATATAAAACATTAATACTATACCAAAATATAAGGCAAAGTTCAATTATAGGGTCACAATATAGTTAATTATAGGGTCACCAAAAAAGTCTGACAATTTCCAAGGATTCGAGTACTTAGGATCCCATTTATCTCAAGTATAAATGATCAAGTTAGAAGAATATTCTAGGTACCATGGAGCACAGGGGAATGAGGCAGCTCTAACACTACTAGAAGCAGGTAGCAAGTTCATGGGCCGTTCATTACTCTGTAATGCTTTACACATGTATATTCCTGTACATAGTTTATACATTATTTACATTACACATTTATCAAATAATATATGTTATTTATATCAAGTATTACCCATTAACAAATCTAACCTTATATAAAATGCTTTCCTTGGCCACTAGATGGTAACATTTTAATACAATCAAGGTTTTAAGTCCAAGATTGCCTTCATAAAAACAGAAAATTTCAGATATCAATGTGCTTTTTAAGAAAAAGCAAGGGGGGCTGGGCTGGGGCTGGGGATCAGTGGTAGTGCACTTGCCTGGCATGTGTGAGGCACTGGATTTGATTTCCAGCACCCACGTAAAATAAATAAAGGTTTACCAACAACTAAAACAAATTTTAAAAAGAAAAGGGCTGAGGTTGTGGCTCAGTGGTAGAGCACTCACCTAGCATGTGTGAGGCATTGGGTTCAATCCTCAGTATCACTTAAAAATAAACAAAAAATAAATAAATAAAGGTATTGTGTCCACCTACAACTAAAAATTATTTTAAAAAAAAGAAAAATTAGACACAATACACAACATGACAAAAGGATACTACTCCCAGCTTTAAAATGTTCTCAATTTTTATTTTGTATTTATGCTAAACTCTATACAACTCAGCAAAACAGGCATAAAATACAGAGGCATAACAAAATATATACAAATGGCTAACAAACATGTGAAAAGGCGCATAACATCACTAGTCTTCAGAAAAATCCAAAATGAAACCACCATGAACACGAAGTAAACAACTAAATTAGAAAGCTGATACTCGCAAGTTTGACAAAGATGTGAAGCAATTAGAGTGCTCACTGGTAATGCGTGGGAATGCAGATTTGGTACAGCCAAATAGGACAGTAGGACACTGTCTGGAAGCTGCTTATGCTAGTTAAACATATATCCCCTGAACACCCAGAAATACTGCTTTTATCTTATATATATAATAACCCAAATGTAAATCAGCAGGTAAACGGATCAATAAATTGTGGAATATCCACACAGTGAAACACCACATGGCAATTAAAAAAAAAAAAAATGGACTGGGCTGGAAGTGTAGCTCAGGGGTATAGCACTTGCCTAGTATGCATGAGGCCCTAGGTTCCAACCCCAGCACCATAAAAACAATGAGCAGATTCTTGACATGCTACAATACAGGTGAATAACTAACAAAATATTGAGTGCAGAATCCAAACACAATTCTATGTACATAAAACTATGCAACAGGAAAAAAAAACAAATTATGGTAATTGAAAGACAAGTGGTTGCTTTGGGATAGTGAAACTGACTACAAAGGGACATAAAGGGATTGGGTGGGGTATGGGAAATGTTATGTACTTCAACTGGTTTAGTAGTCACGAAAGTACACAAATCTGTCAAAGTTTCACTGTAAAGTTAAAATCTATGCATTTTATTATATAAATTATACCTCAATACAATAACTTTTTTAAAACTTAAAAAAACTTTCATAGCAAAATATTTATGCCAGCTTTAAGGTACAACAAAAAAGGATATTAATAGTGCAATAGGATTTAAACTGTAAAGAATTACTTTTAATGCCATACTCAAACAAGGAAGTGATGAAGACAAAGTACACAAATATGCCAAGGTGCTGCTACTTGTGTACCCTTCTCCTTGCCCAGCCCCAGTGCTTCCCTATCCCACCAGAATGGCCTCCCAGCCCAGCCTGACTTAAGCCCTTCATGTCCTTCATGAAGAACTTCACTGGCCTAACACCCTGACACTCCCTAAGACCTAGTTTGCATATCCCCGCCTCCAGAAAGCCTTTCCTCACCATCCCTCACCCTCCAAACTCCCTTTGCGGGTCAGGCACGTCATTCTACGCCTTCTTTATCACTTGTACTCACCACAGCATATTAAAAGCATCTGCTTTATGTCAGTCTTCCCCACTACAGAGAGATCTTTGAGGATAGGAATGTCTTATTCATCTTTGTATCCCCAGCATCCTAGTTCAGAACCTGGGACAAGGTAGGCATTCAGGAAATGGCTTTGAATTCATTAACAAGTCTCCCCTACACAATTCCCAGGCAGTGCAAGGCTAAAACAAATGCTAGACTAGGACAGTCAGGGAATCTAGCCCTTCATACTTTGGATCTCCTATCTCCTGCACAATGGGACTCATCCATCTGCACTGTTTACTGCCTGTGCTATGGAGGTGCTGTGCTTTGGAAGCAAATGCCCTTAATTCCAACAGCAATGAAGCTTGATGTCTACAATTCAATTAAGATGAATAAGATCAGGAGAAGCTGGCTAAGAAAAATATTATTCAAAGCATATCATTCACCAACTGATTTATTTTCATAAGAAAAAATGAATAGAATGCAAGGTTTTCTACTCCATGACGGTTTGCAATCTCAAAATATGCCATGTAGAAAAGATTTTTTTTTCACTCAGTAAAAAACGTAAGGCTTATATATTGTAGCATGGTTTTATTTTCCTAGGTTTTATGTCTTAGGGACTGATTTCCCATTTTTCCTCAATGCAGTTACGACATTTATTTCCCTGTTTTCTTTAGGATTAATATTTCATTTTGACGTTTTAATGTTTTATAGTTATAACAAAGAAATTATACTCAACACCAAAGAAAAAAGTCTACTAAAGGAATTGGGCTTGCTACATTTAATGAAGTCATGACATAAAGACAAATTTCACTCAGTCTTACTCACACTGGTGCTTTTCCCATAAATCTTTCTACTATATATAAACTAAACTAAAATATGGATATGAATATCAAAAGATATTATTCTCATAATGAGAAAACCTAAAATCTGGCCCAACTCAGAAGTCATACGCATTAATGTGAAACTAAGGTCCACTCCTGTACCTCACAATAGATTGTTCTCTGAGATAATGCCATTCTGTTTGCAATATAAATATTTAAATTCAGTTCTAAAATACCTGTTACTTGCTTATAATTGATTATTCACATTTTATTTAAGTAACTAATGAATAATATCCAATCAATATTATTTAAGTAAATGAATGACACCTCACAAATAAATACTCTGCTTCCAAACCTGAGCTCAAATCAATATAAAGGATATGAAGAGGGTTTTATTATTTTAAAGCAGATTAAAAATTCCATTTGTGTTCTGCAGTTGTTATATGTTTCAGTTAACATTAAGACCCTTAACATAGGCTGCCGAGCACATAGCATAAGTGTTTCCTTACATCAGTCTATAATCCTCATTCTTAAAAATCCTAATGCATGTATTACAATCCCGCTCATTTTATCAATAAAGAAAGTGAGTCTTGGAGAAGTTAAGCAACTTAACCAAAGCCACACACTAGTAAGTTACAGAACAGAGATCTGAATCCAGGTCCGATTCTAAACCCACACTCTTCACCACCACACTATATTACCACTAAGCATCTTATTTTATATCTCAAATATGGCTTTTACAACCATGTTTTAAGCACTTCTCAGGGTCAAAGTTAGCCCAGAAAAACTTTATGACGGGAGGTTTAATATGGGAATTTGAATATGGGAAAGTGGTTTTCCTTATTTACATCTTTCCATAAACCTGTTGTTTATGACCTCTTTAGGTAACAATTTGCTAATTTTCATTTTGCTCAGGGTAGAAAAATTATCTTCCCCGATGTTATTATAACACAATCCTTTATATTTATCATTCAACTCATTAGGAAGTCCTTTAATAGTCTCTGAAAATGGTGTACATCTAAACTAGAAGTAAGTCCACAAGGAATGGAGAGAGTGAGTAGCATGTATTTTGTCCCACCTCAATGAACAGGAGAGCGGGATAAATAACATCAATAACATCTACCCACCAGTAATTCATATTCCAAACCTTTAATGAATCTGCTCTACTATTTATCAAAAGTCTGCTTAAATTATATAATGCCACAAAAGCGCAAAAGTAAGAAACATTACAGTTCCTTTATTCTGGATGAGGGGGCATAAGTCTAACCAAAATCACATGAATCATGCCCATGCAACCAACCTGGTCAATATTGAGGCGAAGTGGCATCAATGATACCCTCAAGCAGCATTCCTGTGGTGACCTGCCAGACTCTGGGCGCACATGTAATGCTTTAATTGTCAACTATAAGACAAAAACAAAACATTTTTTTCCCAGTGAGATAAAATGACCTTATTCTCATGTTAATAAAGAAAAATCGTGAATTCTATGTGAGTACAAAAAGTGATGAATTATCTACCCTCTTTTCCTTAAAAGTCTGAATCAAAAATTTTTGGAGCACAATCCCTTTTAAGAACCTAATGACAGAAATTGGGCTGCCTTTAGAGGAAAAATTACAAATGAGTGATACTGTACTTGCAGGCTCAAAGGAGTCTGCTGAGGCCCAGAAGCCAATGTACAGGCCCATCTTCCAAAGTCAACTTCTGTAAAGAACCTCTAAGGTCCTAAGCTTATCAGTTCTACCTCGATAAAATTAAGCAACTTAAGCAAAGCCATCACTAGTAAGTTACAGAACTGAGATCTGAACCCAGGTCCAACTCTAAGCCCACGCTCTTCACCACCACACTATATTTCCACTAAGCACCTTATTTTATAACTCAAATAAGGCTTTTAGAACCATGTTCTGGAACACTTTCACAATCCTAATTATTTTGTGCAGACTGCTATGGATTTCTGGTTTTCTTCAGATATCAATATATTGGCCAATTATAGTTAATAGACTCTAGCAACAATATGCAAAATAATTTTTCAAACACAAAACTTTAAGTGACATATTTAAAAGGGATTTTCATATTAAAAAGAGAATACAACAACAAAAAATGAGGCTTTAAATCTTACCATGTTGGAATGAGCTTTGCGAGGCATTTCTTTGCTGCAATACAAGTACAAAAATTTATTCATTTGTGATGTTGCCAGCCGATCCCGAATTTCAAGATCCTGAACAATGAACACCTGCCGAGAGACTGGCTGTTCTAAGAGGCTAGAATCGCATTCTGCTTTGCATGTGGGGTAGACTTCATGCTGAAATTTCACCTTAACAGACAAGGAGAAGGAACACAGAGTAACCTTTACTTTTATTTAAATTAGATTTTCTCTTTAAAATGCAAACAATCACTCATAATTTTCTTTGGATTCTACCTCAGCTTATAATTCCACTTTCAAAGAACTAAATGTTTCATTTGTTCACTTACTTATTGATCTATGTGTACCCTACAATACACAGATAAGCTTTGTTAATATTTCTTAAATGATCTTGGTAAAATCCCTTACTCTTTTAATTTTTCACTCATTTATTTTGGTACCAGGGATCTGAGACAGGGTCTTAGTAAGTTGCTTAGGGCCTTGCTAAATTGCTGAAGGTGACTTTGAACTTGTGATCCTCCTGCCACAGACTCAGGAGTTGCTGGGATTTAGAGGCCTGTACTACCACACCCGCCCCCTTTTACCCTTTTCAAGCAAAATTAGAAAACCTAAAATTAAGATCTTGCATACCTATGAAACTGCATGAACAAATCAATAGAAGGAAAGTTCAGTTCCAAAAAGGGGCAAAGAATTGCCATCACTACAATATCTGTACACCACCTATCCTAAATATGACACTTGGGGCATCCTGAACAAACTGACAGAGTTAAATTAAATGCATATAATGTCATTAGTGGTATGGGACCTATGGCCTTGAGAACTTCACAGAGCACCTGCCATATGCACTATCCAAAGGCAGGCCTTCCCAGACAGGTACTCTGGGGCAGCAGTTTATCATGTGCCTGCAAAAAGAATCACACTAAAAATTCATGTCTGTCAGACCCGTTCAGTCAGCAATCCTAGAGTGGTGCTCACAAATCCAGGCCTAAATAACCCACTAAGGGATTCTAAGGGCATTCAACTCTGAGAACCCAACTCCTAGAATAGCATGAGAGAAAAAAAAAAAAAAAAGCACCATGGGCTTCTTAGGACACCTGAGAAAGAAAGAAAAGGAAGCATTTCATAGAGATCCTTGTACTTTTTCAACCCAAAGAGCTAGGACCTAAAGCTCAAGACCAATGAGGCTAGGGAAACCAAAGAAACACCACTTATACTCCTTCCATCTTAAGTGGACTTTTCCTTTCAAAATACCTTCTTACCTTGCTTAACTGTATTTCCATTAAAAAGTCAGGGTTTCTTCCTTTCCCTCCACATACTGTATTCCGTCCGTGTCTTGTGGGTGTGTGAGAAGGAGAACTGTGAGGACTACTAAAAATGAAGAAAAAGAAAATAATGTTTAAAAATAATCAAAGAAATTTAATTAATAATATTAGAAAAATTAATAAGATGAAAAGAAAAATAAAATTACAGAATTATCAGAAAGTTGTCACAAATTATATTATTATAAATCAAAACCAGAGTAGTCATCTGCTTGCTAAATAGTCAGAACTTAGAAAAATCTAATTATGGTGCTGGGTTCCATATCACAGGATTCACTTGGAAATGAGACCTCATTATAGCATTCTTATTACCTTAGAAAACTTTTTGGTCTAAGAACAAGTCCTAAAAATGCCAGAAAACAGAAAAGAACTATAATCAAGTCAGAAGTGTTTTAAAGTAACTTTTTAAGTACAAAAAGGCGAACTATTGTAACAAATGTCACTGCTCCTCCCACCCTGGGAAACTCTTTACCCCACTGTCCGAGCATCCTCTGCCTAGTTCTCTTCTGCTGCAGAACATTGCCTTTGTTTAGTTAGTAAGCGCTCGGTAAGCACTGGTGCCCTGCTCAGTACTCTCCTGCGTGCTGGGAGCTCAGAGAATGCACAGTTCCTGCCTCCTGACACACTCACTTCGCTGTTCTCCTTCAGTCCATGATTATCCCCTTCTTTGGAGCTGAAGAAAGAGCTGGGTCTTGTTCCTTTTTTAGAATGGGCATATAGTAAATACCTGAAAATCTTGCTGAGTGAAACTCAACATTAATTACAATACAAATAAGTACACAAATGGGAAATGACACTTAAATACTAGTTTATTAACTCTTAAGATAAATTCTATATTTTTATATGAAAAGAATACATTGGCCTGATAAATAAACTTGCACAGAAATTAACTTACATGTAACTTTTAGCTGGAGAAGTAGGAGGAACTGTCCCAAAATCCTTGCCTCCATAAAGATGCCACACAAGAGAAACTTCCTTAACAACATACCGAATTACAGGAATGGGAAAGTGTAATGGGGCTTTGCTGGTATCTGTCTTCTTAACAGGTAGGCTAAAATAGTTGTCTCTTATCACAATTGCATCATCAACCATGATTTTTATGACTGGCTCTTCTTCCTTCTCCTGAAATCAACAGTAACACAGACTCTCACATCATTAGAAATGACTGGTTATGCTGCATATCTCAAGGGAATTTCATGAATCTATATTCTTTTTCCTAATTTTGATATATAAAATAAGGTTATAATTCTGACATTAACCACTACCTAAGAGAGACTGCTTCATTAAGCATACAATGAACTATATTTCTGTTCTTTATAAATCACCCATGAAAATTTTTTCTAGTTTACAATTTCACTCTTACAACTTATTTCATAATATAAAAGTACAGATTTTATGTACAGGTTTGCACATGTATGTATTTTATTCCTTCAGTTAAAGTCAATACTGCATTTCAAACCAAAACTTGACCAACTTCAAAATACTGAGCAAATTATCATGTTTCTAATAATTGGTTTATCCTGAGTTTGACTGCTTTGATTTTTTTAAATTTTAACCAGAAGGTTCTCAGAACTTAGTGAACAAATTCAGTCACCTACTAAGATACTACTGGGCAGTTTTGTGTGTTTGTGTTCCTCTCAATCAATCATTAGCATTCACACACATCTTGTCTTTCCCAGTTATACCAACCACTCTAGGCAGTACAACTTCTGTCATTTAATATTAATGCCCTTAAGAGTCATCTAACTATATGATATTTGCAGTTCAATAATCTATATAGGAAACTTTGCAAAATATAGAGCAGTCTCTGAGTCTGAGAGATGTGCCATAGAAATAATAAAGTACAACCACCATTAAAGTGAATTTAAATTGAAGTAATTCTGAACTGAACCATAAGAAGTAACAAAATCTAAACAATCTTCTTCAGAGACACTTTGGTCAATTTAACTTTTAACATTATTTTAAACCTCAATAATTCTGTTAATTTATTACCTGGATGGCTGCTTTTGGTGCAAAAAGAATGCAAAAATCATCGTTTTCAGTGGGCACACCTGACATTGCATCGCTAATCAAGTGGTGAGTGAATGAGGCGTAAGTGGGGCCAGGCTCGTGGGACACATTTCCACTCTCATCTGGGAACAGGAAAAGGTCCGAACAACATGGTTCTTGAATTTGAGATTTTTCATCCATAACACCTAGATTAAAAAAAATATATATATGTTTCGTTTACTCTGAAAAAATACTAAACATCTTAACTATGTATCAGATATACAGGTTGAATGTTTTCACCTGCAAAATCTCATTTATTTTTTACAATAACCCTATGAAACTGAGAATTAAGAACAGCTAAAGTAACTTGCCCCAAAACACCTCAGCAAGTGGTAGAAATACATCAAAAAGACTGTTTAACAAATGTATGGATACATACAAAGACTGTTTAATTCTCTAAAAAAACAGCAAATGATAGTTTTCTAAGTAGAGATAGTTCCTCTCAGTTATATGGCATTAGAGAAGTTCAGGAATCCAGCAGCAGATTAATGCTGACTCATTTTGCCTCAGCCAGAATTTCATTTTGACATTTCTGTCCTGTGGATGATATTCTGGAAGAAATTTCTTGGGCAGTATTGCAGGAGGAAGACAAATTGGTTACATCTAGCAGAACCTTACCTAAAACTAGGAGAACCCTGCTTATGAATTGGGAAGGAAGAACAGTTACTAAGCATGTTTTAAGTATTGGAAGAGGAAAATGATTCCAAGCAACAAAAAGAAAGCTATTTCCTGGGCACACTTTCTCCCCACTGGACACCTGTTCTCAGGAGCTCTCTCAATAGGAAGTTCACAAGATAGCATGTGCACAAAAACCTTACATATGTGAATATATTTTTATACATTTATACTGCATATTAGAGTCACTGATTGTTTCTCTATTCATTCAAACCAAACACTGAGATGGGGCTAAGAACACAAAAATGTATAAAGTAACATTTTGGCTTCCAGAGGCTCACAGACAATGTATAAATTTTGAAAAAATTCTCAACTTTCATGTGGTAGCACCTCTGAATTATGCAGTCTAAGTGTCCAGTGCTTAGTGAAGAATCTTGTCTATAAACTTACTCAGTGTAAGAATGGGAGCGTGGCTCACACCTATAATTCCAACAACTCAGGAGACTAAGGCAGGAGGATTGCAAGTTTGAGGCTAGCCTTGGCAACTTAAGTGAGATCCTGGCTCAAAATATAAAATAAAAAGGGATGGGCTATAGCTCAGTGATAGAGCAGCCCTGGGTTCAATCTCCAGACACCCTACCCAACACACACACAAATTGGTAAAGCCACTCAATAAATATTCATTAAATATGCCTTCCCATGTAATTAGACAGCTCTGTTCATTACAAATAAGGTAGTACAAAGGAAGCCAGAATTCCCAGTTTACATCCTTAGTTCTAATTTATTCTAAATTAAAATGGAAGCTACATTTAATGCTAAACTTTGTAACATCATAAAATATTTAAAAATTAAGATTTCACAATATGGGCTGGGGATGTATCTCAGTTGGAAGAGTGCTTGCCTTGCATTCACAAGACCCTGGGTTCGATCCCCCGCACCAAAAAAAAAAAAAAAAAATTCACAATATACAGAAATAGTTATGTCCATCCAATTAGGAAAAACTAGTTTTGAAATAGATGCTTTAAATATTTAAATGGTTCCGTTTGGCTCTCAAGGATTTCTAATCATCCAGTCCCTCCCTGCCTGTCCAATTTGACTATCCAGTTCTCACTAAGAAGGGTGCTTTCATCTGCAGCAGCCTGGCAGCACCGAGGAGGAGTCTAAGGCTCTCAATGCCTGTGTTCTGACACAGACCAGTCTACGGCCTTTCCAGGGTCACCTTCTCCTTCCTCACTACATACCTAATTCCACCCAGTTTCCAAAGTCAACTCATCTCATTTTCACTAGTGTCATGAAATCATTTCAATCCTTTCCAAATTACAGAATACAAACCACATTCGAAGGTATTTCCTTATGTCATTTTTCAGTCATTCCAAGCAGTAGCCTCAGTGTCCTGCCCATTTGTTTTCCTAGGCTATGAGCTACCAAAAAAAAAATAAGTTTGTCTCCCATTTCCTCTGTATCCTTCATGTCATCCTGGATACTGTTATTTATCTACTAGACATTCCACAAATACAAGCTAATTGGCTAATACACATATACCCAAACTTGGACAAGTCTTTTCTTCAGTAAGTTACTTACTGAAGAATTTCTGAGAACACAAATAATCTAAGACACTACAATATCAGTGCTCCCAGGGAAAAAGTCCTGGTCTTACCATTAGCCTGTGGCTTTATTGATGAAGTGGTCTGCTGCATGTCGACCTCCTCCATAGCATCACTCATCAGATCCCGTAAAACCTGCTGATCTGCTTCAGGAAGCACAGGACCGCGTGAGGATGATCCACCAGA